CGGAACCCGAAGAGGACAACGACAACAGCTGTAAGTGAACCTGCTCTGCCATCCTCCCCGAATAATTTTTGAAAACCAAAACATTCCCACAGCTGATTCCAGTCTGGACGAGATGAATCTGACACCTCCGCGCAAACGTAAAAGTCCCGTTAAAACACCTTCCATAAACTGCAAATCGGGTGCGTGGTAACAAGTGATATAATATAGGATGAATGTATATCTATATAGTTGCAGATCAATCGGATAATCGTGCCAGTACACCCACTAGCCCAAAGGCAACCACTGTGACACGCAGCGGACGCGCCGTTCGTGCTGTATTGGATACAACATTTGATTACTCTTCGTCGCAGCCAGAGGGGGAGGAGGATGAGTCCTATAGCCTTTGGGACAACACTGACGATGAGGATTATAGCCTGGATGTGGGCAGCCCAGAGCCCAAATGGTCTAGCCGCAAGCCGCGGCGCGTCTCCTATCAGCACAGCCACAGCAGCAGCAGCGAATCGTCGAGCCCGGCAAGCCCCAAGCGCGATCAGCGTCTTATATACATTGATCTGAGCCAGCCGGTGGCAATTGTGGGAGATGCTCCACTGCCCGAACTGTCCGTCGATGATGATGCGGATCTCAAGACGCGACTGCTTAAATTCCTGGGCCTCATGGCGCCGCGCCGACGCCTCTACAATCCCATGGACAACTATGAAGATAATCCAAATTGCTCGCCGTCAAAGAAATCGCTACAGGACTCCGAGCGGAGTCCACCAACAAAGACGATCATACAAGTGGCATTGGAGACACCCAATCGCCTCTTTCCGCCGACTACTCCGATGAGGAAATTGAATATATCGCTTGTGAATGCGCCCAACAGCACCATTGAGGAGCGGCAGGCAAAGTTCTGTGACGATCTGGTATTCCAGGCAAATGCCACGTACATAGAGCACCAAGCGCCGGCTTTCCTCAAGGAACCCATCGATCTGAGCTGCCTGCCCAGCGAGAAGCAGCGTGAGAGCATTTGTCGTCGCCACAATGGCAGCATTGCCTGCCTCGAGGAGCAACCGCATTTCTATGGATTCATCGAGTCACTGAATCGTTAGTTCAAAAAGGTGTTTGCTTTTCTTGCTTACTGACTCTGACACATCTCCCTCTCCTCCCACTTGCAGCTCGAACTTCAATCAATTTGTGCCATCCACAGGCACTGATCTATCGCCAGAGTGACTTTGAAAAGTGCAAAGTGGCCCTGGCCAAGGTGCTGTTCGGCGTTTTCAATCATGCCATCTTCCATTGTGGCCTACAGGAAAAAATTGAGTGGAAATCCAACATGAATACACCCTGCAGCAGTGAGCTGGGCTTCAGCACAAACGGCAAGCGCATAGCGCGCATTCTGCTCTGGGAGCAAATCAATCAAACGGGAATGCTGATAAAGCCGCTGCTCCACGAGATGTGCCATGTGGCGGCATTTGTATTCAATTGTGAGACAGGACATGGTGATAATTGTCGCAAATGGTAGAACTTTGCATTCCTGCTCCTTTTGCCACGCTAACTTTGTCTGTTTGCAGGACTTACCAAGCTAAAAGTCTCATACCCGAGCTGGCATTGATCAGTGACTGTGAAGCCAGCCACAAGTATACATGCACGCTCTGCGCTCGCTGCTCCTACGGCCGACTGGCATTCGTGCATGAAGTGGAGCTGCTACGCTGCCACTACTGCCAGTTTGAGGTGCATGTGGAGCGCTGGAGTGCCACGGACACGCAAAAAATGACGCGCATCAATCAGCTCAGCACACCCTTCAAGACATACGTGAGGGAGCATTATCTAGAGATCAAGCAGGTGGAGGCGCATAGCGCCAAAATGCAGGAACTAAATCAACAATTTATGGACAAAGAAACCTCCTAAAGTGTACCTAGTTAAACTTAGTTAATATCTATTTTATTATCATTATATTTTTGCACTGCAAATAAACAAAATGCGCAAGGAATTTATTGGTTTATTTTCGGTGTTTTAGGACATCATTCCTTTGCTACGCTTGAAGGCTGCACCTGCCTTGCGATTGTGATTGGCACGCGAGGATTTGTTGGCCTCCTTGTGGCCGCGATTGCGTTGCGTTTGCTGCGTCTGCCCTTGACCCTTGGGCGCACCAGTGACGCCAGCAGTGTGACTTGACTGTGGCACAGCGCCACCGCCAGCGCGTTGGCCATATTTGGCCATTTGTCGTTGCTGATAGCGGGCGCGTATTACTTCGGGATTCTCACAAAAGTCAGCACCGCCACGCGGCGCCGCCTTGTCGGACTTGCTGTCGGTGCTGTAGTCGTCATCCTCCTCCTGATCCTGCGTCTCGTAGGCAGCGCTGTGAGAGGAGGTTGCGACCGGCGCTGACGCCGCCTGCATGCGTGCACGCAGCAGACTCACTGGCGGTGCCTGACCCTCGTTGAGGGCCTCGTAGCTATCATCATACTCATCGTCATATTCACCGTCATCGTGGTTGGACTCCTCGACCATGGCATACTGCTGATAGCGCTCCTTCAGCTGCTTCACATCCCGCTTGTCGTCGAGCAGTTGCTCCGCGTTGCGCGGACCACCGGGCAGACCCTTGCCCTGCTTGATAATGCACGCGGGCTTGTCCTGTGTGAGGACATCGTAGCGATCGCCATCGCACACATTATAATGTCGTATGCCCGTTTGGCTTTGCTGCTTATCCTGTGGATCGGGCGGCACATATACCTTCTGACGATCCATGGCGGCCAGATCCGGTGGCAGATTGTCATCCAGAATGGCGGCAATTGCCTGCTCGCTGTTCTCGTAGCGTGTGAGCACGTCACGTATGAAGCCCATGCCCAGATCGGGCATCACATCCAGCACAGCGCTCACCTCCAGATCAATGTCACGCGACGACCCGCTGGTGGCTTGAGGCAGTGGTGAAACGTTCGCTGACTGCAGCTCCTCCTCCTCCTCGTCGGCATCGAATGATTCCTCCGGGCTGCCGTCCAGCTCTTCGGCCATAACGCCACTCGGACAAGAGCTAACCGCCTTCTGATAACCCGAAACAACAAAGTCCACTTTGTAGTTTTTGCTGCAAAAAAAGATTTCGAATTGGATTACAATGTGGCAGGGTTTGTAGAGAGAGAGAGAGAGCTGACGCACATGTTGGGACATCGATTGAGCAGCGTTTGCATGTCATGCTCGAGCGGATATTGTCGCTGATAGTCCACGACAAAGGTTTGAGCGGAGAGGCACTCCTGCAGCAGTTCCACCAGCTGCTGTCCACGTCCGCCAGTCAACTGTGAGCTGATGACATCACGCACCACGCCCAGAAATTGCTGGCGTGTCTCGTTCAGCCAGCGCAGGGAATTCGCTTGAGGATTTACCATATAAATATTCTTGTACAGCATTGGCACCGTCAGATCATAGAAATTGGCAATGCTGCGAATAAGAAAGAGACAAACGCGATACAGAGAGAGTGAGAGATACAGAAAGCCAAAGTGAAATGTAACCTTTGGACCAAACGCAGCTCCTCGATTGTCTCCACCAGCTCTGGTCGTAGATGCAGCAACAGACGCAGCGTGTAGGCACAGTCCAAGGCAAAGAGCACAACATCATCGTAGGGCGTCTCCAGATCACCCTCAATGGGCGCACCACCGCCTGCGCCCTCACAGCCCTCGTTCTCCACCTGTATCTGCATGCTGAGAAATGCACTCTCATAGAAGGCAACCGCCTCCTTGAGATCCTTTTGGTACTCTGGCTGAATGCGCAGCACGCTGTCAAAGATGCGCGTTAGCAGTGCCACATTTCGGGGCTCGGCATCGCCCACAGCAATGGCCAAATCGAAGAGGAGCGGCACAGAGATTAGATAATTGCTGTACAGCAGGCTGCTGTGCTGCTGCGGTGAAATCCACTCTGAGGGGGACTCTTTGGCGGTGCAAAGACGCAGTATGAGACGCACAACGAGCCGCAGCAGCTGGCCATAGAGTTTGTTGGCCTGTGCAATCTCCTTATCCTGTGCGGAATTATCACTGACATCGGCCTGTCTGTAGTAGGGATTGGCTCGCTGCAGGAATGTCACAATGGCAGCCATAGCCGACTCCTCGTAAACCATATATGACCAGAATCTGTGCAGAAACAAACAATACTTGTTTAGCTATTGGCTGGAACTGTAAACTCCCGAATAATTCTTACTCGTGCTGGCTCAGGCTGAGCAGAAACTCCATATCCTGGCGGCAATTGTTGGCCGTAAATGTCCATTCCTCTAGTGCGGCAGCCGTCTTAAGTTTGCAATAGGAGCTCATCAGGCAAATGTAGCTACCAAAGGGCTTCTCTCGTCTCACCCAATGCTCATCCTGCAACATATGTGTTAAATATGCCAAATATACAAAGCTTTCTTTTCACTTACCAGTGCTGGGACATGTCGCTTGACGCCATCCTGGCCAGAGAGCGCGAACTTTAGCTTCCCGAGTGGCAGTTGTTGTGGATTGCAATTGTTGTTGCTGCTGTCGTTGTCCAGCATGGCTCTATTTTCTATTGCTTAATGACAGCTAATGTCTTTTATTTGATATATTGGATTGAAACATACAATTTTGTGAATTTCATATAATTGTTCAAACACAGCAGCTGCGCAGGGTGCACTGACAATTAAGGTGAGGTCTGTCAGCACATTATTGCCACATAATCGATTTAAGTGGAATTCTAATTTGCCTTCATCTTGTAAGTAAAGTTAGTTTTCGAGTTTCAGTGCGTCATTTATAATTATACAAATAAATATAGTAGTTATAACGGGTAAATAAAGCGCGCACCTTCTTCATATTGCTGTGGCAGCGATATACAGATATATCGAACTACTTGTTTTTGTGTATCGAATTTGTATATCGGCGGCAAAATTTGTTTTTCATGACGTAGGACAAAGCTTTTGTTTAGTTAGTATAGAAAGGGCTGATTATTTTAGTAAATTAAATCGTAATAAATAATAATTAATAAATTGAACTTCTCATAAACGTATCAAATGTAGCAACCCTGAAACTACCGCACACTCCGTGGCGACAAAGAACCGTTGAATTTCCTGCATGCGTGTATGTGTGTGCGTGTGCACCGTATTTTGTCCAATAAAAACTTTTATTTAATTTCATGTCATGTCTATTTTTACTGGCCTAAACATGTGGCAGTTCGATGAGGTAATTACCAACTAAACTGAAGACCCACCCACTAATTTGTTTTGTTTTTCTTGTGATTGCCAGGGCAAGTGCCACATCTGCCAGCGTGTATTTTGTTGCGGTAAATGCCGCAGTAAGCATCAGTTCAACACCCACGCCATTGCAGTGAGAGATCCCCTCGCTGTGGCCAGTGCTGTCGGCGGCATAGTCGAGCATAAAATCGAAATGGAGTCGGGCCGTACGACAATCTACGTGTTCTGTCCGATATGCGAGAGAAAGCCACTGATGCTGTGCGAGGAAATCTATGCGGAGCTACTGGAACACATTGAGACCGCCCACCTGCCGCTGCGGTGCCGCAAGTGCCAGCGCAACTACACAAAGATCAGCGATCTGCGTGAGTTCAGCAAGTGTGTGGACATGCGACAGGAATGCAGTGGCATCAGCAGAAGCGATCTGACAGCCAATACGGATGCATCCAAGGTGACTGTGAAGCAGGCGCTGGCCCTGGTGCCCCTGTGCACCAGCAGCATTTCCACGCAAACCTCGCCGGGCATGACGCCCATTTCGCTGATCAATATGCGCTGGAAGGCCAAGAGTCGTGTCACCACCCACGAGGAGATGATCAGCGACAGTGTCTCCTCCATCAGGAATATATCATCCATCAGCAATGGCTCGATTAGGCGCAGCATCGGTCAGTTGTCCAGCCTGCATGAGACTGTCGAAAAGGGCAAGGTAATTCGTTCCACTTCGACCCCCGTCCAGCTGGAGTCGATGTTTGCCAAGCCCAAGGAGCCGCTCACCTTTAATGCCTCCAACGGCGGACACGTGTCGAGCATCTATCAGGAGGAGGCAAGCCCGGCCCTTGAGGGAAATCCAATCCAGCAGCAGCAGCAACAGCTGCAGCAACGTCCCTGGAAAATGGGCGCACGCAGCAAAATGACTGCCGTGACTCCGCTGCGTCAGGTCATGTCCAAGAGCATTCAGAAGGCGTTTGTCGAGCATGGTGCAATGCTTGTTCCACCCCCGACCGGCCTCATGCAGCGCCGTGTGCGTCTCGATCTCAGCGACAACAATAACTACTCGGCCGATGGGGCAGCAGCAGCAGCAGCTGGATCATCTGCTCTAGATCTACGCCTTTCACCCGTCGTTCGACGCACACAAAGTGAGAGTTCGTCCAGTGCGTCGGAGGCGGCGAGTTCCTTGCTGCATCCCCATGACGTTTACCAGCGACAATTTATGCTCTCGGCCCAAAAGCTGACCACAGAGTCGATTATCATCACCAGGACCATGCCCTCAAGCATGGGGGAGAGCAACGGGTCCACCGTTTACAATTCCTGCGAGAGTGTGGAGATCATTCGATCCACTTCGGAGTCGGCAGAGGTGCATGTGCCGCCCATTACACCGATAACTCGAGTTTCGGGCGCTGCCATTAACAAGAAGCAGATTAAGTTTGAGACGCCGCACAAGAGCCTGGATGCAGCCTCGCAGAGTGGCGAGGAGGAGAGCAAGGATACGTTCTACACACCAAATCCGGGCACACCGGAGCGGCGCAGACCGACGATTGTGCCGCGACAGATAAGCGGCGAGTTCTCACCCGCCATCAAGAAGGAGAAGTCATCCACTATGCATCGTGTGACATCGCCACCGGATCGGCCCAGAGCTCGTCCGCCGCTGCGAGATTGCCACAAGGTGAGAGCCTTCAGTGGTGTCCAGGATCTGCCGGTGGGTCAAAGTCTTGTCGTGGAGGAAGATGAGGATGATGTATTTTTGCCCACGAATGCCTCCACGCGAAAAGATAAGAAGCGGGATCAGGGCACTGGACGTCTCTGGTCCATAATGAGCACCATGATGCGTCTGCCGGCCACGCTGCGTGGCGACAAGAATGACAGAGAGAACAATGAAACGTCTGGCTCTGGCTCCCTGATCAGACGTTGCGCCTCGATAGCAGGCTCTCTGGTGCGCACCTCCAGCCGGGATGGGGATGATGGGCCGCCCCTGAAGCGGAAGCGTACTCAGACATTGGATAATAATCTGTACTGCACATCAATGTCGCCGTCCAGTTCGTCAAAGCGGTATCGCATCCGGCCAAGGGAACCCATTGAGCGCATGCGCCACAAGTAGCTAATAGTTTTATGTATTTTATTTAATGTTCATCTCATTTTTTATGTTCAATTAAAAGTCTGTGTTTTTACATATTCCGTTATTCAGGCAGAGTTGCCATACAGCTGGATTATTTTGCAGCACTGATATCCCAGCCCTGGCACAAGTGCAGTTGCAGTTAAATAAGCAAAACAAAAACAATTTCAACGCAGTTTTATTTTTGTGTATATCCAAATTCATGTCCAGGCATTCCCATTCCCCCAAAGTCTGTGCGGAAGGTGCTGTCGTGGCGTCGTCGCTGCCCGAGACGGAGTCACATAAACTATGGATACACTGCAATCGCTGCTTTGAGCAGTTTGCACTCAAGCGGCACGTTTTCTTCCTGCTGGCCTGCCAGCACGTGAGCTGCGAGAAGTGCGTAAAATCCTGCCTGGGACGCACGCCCAGCGATGCTCTCATCTACACGTGCCCCATTTGCCACAAGAGTGTGCGCGGCCGGCAGGTAAACAATGCGATGCCCAACAATCTGAAGCAAATGTTTCATCCGGAGCCATGGAATCTCGCGCTTGACCACATCGAAAAATTCCAGCGGACCAATCAGAAACACTTTGACAAGTACAAGGAGAAGAAGGTAAACAAATTATGAACTACTTTCGGTGTTTTCAGTTGCTCATGTTTCTCCCTGACAGGAGAAGGAGTTGGATAAATTGGACAAGGACATTCAATTGGCCAAATCCGTGTGCCAGCAGCATTTTCGCGTGCAACAAATGCTGCTCGTGGAGCGCAGAAAACTCGCCATCCGAGTGCGTCAAATTAAATTGCAGGTGGTCAAGAAAAGGGAGGCTGAACGGTAGGTCTTTGAAATTGTAAGCAAACGTTCGTTACATTTTTCCACCTTCCCTTTAGTTTTTACATTTCCCAACGACGCAGATCAAAGGAAGACCGACCGGGCTCTACACTTGGTTCCAGAGCCTCGCCCAGTTTTCGTAAACCTGTGCCACCGCCCCAATCAATGCAAGCTACGATAGATGCAGCCAATCGTAGGCAGCAGATCACCAGCTTTCTTCAAGATTCAAATAATTCATTCGATCTATAAATGTATCCTCAGTATTTAGTAGTACCAATTATTTTGAAAAGCAACTGCCATGATTGAGTTACCATCTCTAGCATCTCTAGTTTGTGGCGTGGGATATGATTGAATATGTGCCATTTTTGTGGGTTGACCTTTTTAGTTTTAAACTAAATTTGAAAATATTCCAATAAAATAAAGTCGTGAAAATTAACCAATCGTGTGGAGAATTAATTGATAGATCGGATAAAATTATAGTTTTAGTGCTAAGAATCCTAAATAGCAAGTAATATTAAAAAGAGTATCAAAATCGAGGATAATGACTTAAAATGTACGGTATGTTTTGAATATGAGAAGATATACTTTAGTATATTTTTGAGTGTTGTGCGGTAAGTTTATCGATAAGTCCGCGGCCACACTGAATGAATGGCAAAAAAGCAAAAAGAAGTAAAATAAATAAATATTCGGCGAATTATTGCAACTAGTTGGAATCGTAAGGCATTTAGGTATTATACGAGCAAACTCACAGAATAAAGCAATTAAAGTAGGAGAATTCCCAACACGACCATGATGACGACCAAGGCTGGGAGTGTGGTAATGAATTGCCGGACCTGCACACGAGCCTGCAAACTGTATAAATCGCTGCAAGATGAGATCGAGATTGGCACCGAGGGCACCACCACACTGGCCAACATGCTGAATTATTGCTCGAGTCTATCCTTTGAGCCGGAAGACGGCGAGACGATGCCGCAACACATCTGCCAGAACTGCTTGCAGCTACTGGAGCAAGCAGTTGCGTTCAAGCGCATGGTCATCGACTCGGACGAGCTGCTGCGCCAGGGATTGAACGAGGCCAACGATGCCTTCGATGAGTACGTCACAGTTGAGATGCTGACCGACGTAGAGGTGGACAACACCAAGCCGGACTCATCCACCACGGACGAGTCGCCGGCCATCATGTTGGAGAATCTCAACGAGCTGCAACAGGGCGAGGAGGAATTCGTCATCGAGGAGGTGGCCGAGCAGGAGGATGAGCAGGAGGACGAGCATGAAATAGATGAGGCTGAACAGCTTCAGCTGGTGGCAGCCACAGCCGAGCATTTAGAGATTGAGACCGTGCACGGATACCAGCAGGGGGGCATTCAGTATGAGATCAAGAATGAGTTCGGCTCCCTGGACACCGACGAGGATGAATATGAAGTGATCGACGAGGCAACATCAGCTGATTTGCTCGATGAACGTATGATAGTGATACACGCCGAGGATGCCATCGAGGAAATTGGGGAAGAAGGCCTGGAAATGGTCGAAGAGGAAGCAGAGGATATTTTGGTAAGTTCATTCCACATACCGCGATAGGAATTCATTCTTTAACCGAAAGATACTTACCCACAGACGTGCGAGGAAGAGGAGATCGAGTGCGAGGTTGAGGAGGCGGACTACCTGGATGAGTCAGTGGAGGAGTCGACCCAACTGCCCTGCGAGCCGCTGCCGTATGTCTGCAAAGTGTGCCAAAAGCCATTCCGCCAGCAATGCCGCCTCAATCAGCACATGCGATCGCACATCCACGAGAAGCTCTACCGCTGCGACGAGTGCGGCAAGAAGCTGAAACATTTGCGCAACTTCAAGGAGCACATGCTCACCCATTCAAATGTCAAGCCGCATCAGTGCCCCATTTGTGATCGTTTCTATCGCACCACATCCAGCTTGGCCGCTCACAAGCGCACCCATGCCGAGGAAAAGCCACACACTTGTGAGAAGTGTGGACGCGGCTATGCCGCCTTGGATCATCTGAAGCGTCACATGCTCACGCACACCGGTGAGCGTCCGTATGCTTGCGATTTGTGCGACAAGGCCTACTACGACTCGTCGTCGCTGCGGCAGCACAAGGTGAGCCATACGGGCGCCAAGATGTTCACCTGTGAGATATGCGGCGTGGGATTGTCGCAAAAGTCCGGCTACAAGAAGCACATGCTGGTCCACTCTGGCGCAAAGCCGCACAAATGTCACATCTGTGGGCGTGCCTTTACATTCACCAGCAATCTCAATGCCCACGTTCGTCTGCATTCCGGCGATAAGCCATTCAAGTGTGAGATATGCAGCAAGGCATTCCCCACCAAGAAGCGTCTCGTCAGCCACCTGCGTGTCCACAACAAGGAGTCGCGCATTAATGGTGTCAGCAACCGCAGCAACACCGCCAGCATGCCCGTGGCTAATCTGCACCAACGCGCAGTTGGCAACCAAATGCCCGACATAACTGACCAAAAGGTGTCCAACTCAAAGGTTGTGGTTGTGCTTTAGGTTTCCCTCTTAATGGATTAAGTCTAGCCTAGGAATATCTATAAATATATGTATAGATTATATATATATTAAGAGTCAGCACACAGAAAGAGGCGCATGCAACTGTTTTAAACTGTATAAAAACCTGTGCATGTGGTGCAAGATTAGTTTTAGTTTTAATCTACTTATCCATTTAGTTGGTTATAGATGGGGGGAGCACTTTCTGTACAGATACTGATTCTACGTACAATTTTGTATAATTAATTTGTCCAAAATGTGTGGCTCTATGTTTTTCTTTGAGAGTTACAAATTTTGTAACATGAATGTTAGAAATAACATCACGAAGTGGATGCTTAATTGATTATTTACCCAATTCAAACGGTCTGCAAAAAACAATGTTTAATAAAGTTAACAATTCTTTGCACTTGTTTGCCCATTTCGTTCAAATATATAGGGCTATTAAATAAGTTTTTGGATGGGGTTTTTCATGGATTTTATGCAGTGCAAATTCAGTTACATTTTTCCTTCTTTTCGTTGCAAAAAAAATATCCAAATTAATACGCAAAATATTTGCTCATTGTTTGAATAAGTTTATGCATTAATTTTATTTATTATTTTCTTGCAGGTCGACAAAATGAGTTGTGGCTTTTGTCTTTGAATTTTTTTGTTTAATTTTGATGTTGATTATTATCCGTCTATTGTTGCTGCATATTTGGTTTGAATTTAAGTTCGTTTCAACTGTTGCAGAAATGCCTCAATTGGTGCGAGACATTTATGTACTTACATATGCGAGACGGAGTCAGCTCCAAGGGTCAGCGAACAAAGCAAAGACAGCGGGAAAACCAGTATAACCCCCATGGAGAGATTTCTGCACAAGAAAGATCATTTAATGTTTAGTGTTTGTTTTCATTTGATGCGTCTCTTTGGTTGTTTATAATTATTATTAAAGATAAGATAACATTTGCCATACAATTTGCAATTCAATTGTGAAAAAACAACGCAAATAAAACATATTTTGCTTGATTTTATTAAATTACAAAAAAAGAAGACTTGAATTTCGCCCCCTCAACCCCTAAAATTGAATTTTTTGTCGTTCTGGCTGTGTGTTGGCGGTTCGTAATTGGTGTGGGGACGGGGCGAATGTGTGTATGTGTGTGGGGAAGTGGTCCTAGCGTCCCAGTAGATTGCGCGTCCATTGCTTAACCATAGGCTTGGACTTGGCACGCTCCAAGCGTTCCTCTTCTTGCATTTGTTCGGCCAACTTGCGTTGATTCTCTCTAAATTGACTGATTGGATCCTCAAACTGGCGATAATAATGCAGCGTATCACGCACATCCTCCACATTGTTTTGGGCAATAACTAAACGAAAGTGAAAATTAAATAAATAATGAGAAAAATACAAATGGGCATGGGAACTTACTCTTTAAAAAGTAAACCAAATCGAGGAGCTGCGTATCATCGTCGTTGCCATTCCAGCGAGCGATGCCAAATGTATTATCTGGATGCATTTTAGTGGAATTATTATCCCAATCAACGACAATTACCTGCGAGAGGGAAGGAACGATAGTTTGACTCAGCCACAGACCTCAATGGTGGATCCTTACCTTGCGCAAATCTCGATTCAAATTGTCCAAGTTCTTAACGTGATGTCCATCGACAAAGTGCGTGGCATCGCGCACCAGACGATACATAATGTAGCCATGCGGATCGAGTGCATCCAGTATGGGGAACACAGTCATGCCCTGCTCAGCCGTGAACACGACAATTTCGAACTCTTTTGCCAGTTCGGCAAGAAAGTGATCGACACCAGGGCGCTTCTTGAAGCGCCAACCAGTTTGATATGTCCAATCCGGATGCACCAGCACGTCCTTCATCTCTAGGACAAGCGTATATTTGGGCTGGACATAGGGATGCTGCAGCGGATCGGGCAGCAGCTTATCGCGCGAGGGCTCCTGTATCATTTTCTGATAGTAGTGCAACGATTTCCACATGCGTTGGAAATATTGCTGAATTAATGGCTTGTGGGTGAACTCATCCTCAATGGTCTGACCATTGGGATCTACATCGGGCTTGCCGAATTCATAGAGCGCCCAAAAACCACCAACAATTGCGCCCCCACCAAACACGGCAAACCTAATCAGAGAGAGAGAGAGAGGAATTATTTGTCGAGTTTTTTATTTTATTTTAATTTGTTTTTTTTACCCCAATTTCATGCGCTTCCATGCACGCTCGTTTTCCTTTGTCTCCTCCTCTTCGCGCTTTTTGCGCTCCTCCTCCTCGCTTTTGTTTGTCTCTGGCGCAGTTTGTGGAAAGAGCTTGGACAGCAGCGTAGGATTTCCAGCATCACCTGCGGCGGCGGCGGCTGCGACTGCAGGTTCCTCCTCTGCAAATGTTATCAATAAGCTCAAGTTGTGTGTTAAAGATTTGGCAACTTACTGCTCGCTGTACTGCTATAGCCTCGCACCGTGCTCTGAGCACGAGGAAGCAGCGACGACTTAGTCTTCTGATGATTACCCAATGTGCGTCGAAATGATGTGAGAGTGGGCGTTCGCCATGTGTTGACTGCACGCAAAATTTGGATGACACTGCCCGGGGCCATGCTTGTGCTTACTTTTGTTTTATATTTCACACACGAAATTACTACCCACACGCTAAATATTTATCATTAATTTTTTTTCTAAATTTGACAAAACCGGCATAATCTTATTTTTTAAACTAGTGGTGACAAATCATCGATAGTGGCAGGCGTTAGTGTCAAATGCCCGATTGCTGTGCTTTCAATCAGCTGACAACGCGCATCACTAGACTGTGTTTCGAAGTCTATTGCATTTTTGTTGGTTCTTTTACCGTATTCGAAGTATAAATACAAATAGGGGTAAACAGAAACTGAAAAAAAAAACATTGTAACATGTCTTCGTCGAATGGCACTTGCATAGCGCACACCTGTCGCGTCTGCTATGTGCCCGCAATGAAGAGCTACCAACTGTTCAAGCCAAGCCTGGTGTGCGGCCAACTCACAACGCTGGCTCAGGTGCTCAGCTACTGCGTGGAAATCGACGTGCTCGAAGCGGAGAACTTTCTGCCCGCTCACATATGCAGCGGCTGTGCCGAGAACCTAGAGAAGGTCATGGACTTCAAGGAGAAGGCACGCGGCATCGATAAGATCCTCAGAGAGCGTCATCAAAGGAGGAGCACCGCCAGCGTCAATCTGCGCTGGAACAGTGAGGCGATGGTGCTTGAGCCGGATCCAGACGAGGGCAACTTGCTCTCTGTGTGCGATATAATTGAGGAGGTGCCCGAGGATGATATGCACATGGCAGGCCACATTCCAGAGGAGCAATATCAGATAAGCCAAGTGCAGCAGCAGCAGCAGCAGCAACAGCAGCAAAAACTGGAGGAGCGGCAGCTGTTGCCTTGGCAGCAGATAGCGGCGGAGAGGGAAACGGACGAGGAGGAGGACGAAGAGGAGGATGAAGAAGAGGAGCAGCAGCAGCAGGATGAGGAGGAAAGTGAGGAAACCAGCGAGGAAGAGCAGCAGCCGCAGAAGCAGAAGAAGAAGGAGAAGCAGCAGAAGAAGCAGCAGACACCAGCTGCCAAAACTCGGAAACGAACCAGCAGATCAAAGCCCAACTCCGCGCAGTTACAGTGTCCGGTAAGAGAAACCCCGCAAATAATTAAATTTGTTTTCCATTTTGATTCCTCTTCAATCCCTGCGCGTAGATCTGCAATAAGCAGCTGAGCACAACGACATCGTTCAAGTATCACATGCAGCTGCATGGCGACATCAAGCCATTTGCCTGCCACATCTGCGGTGAATCGTTCAAGACACGCAACGCCTTTGATGGACACAAGACAACGCACGATCCAAACAATCCCAACACATGCCACATATGCGGCAAGATCTACAGACAAGCCTCATCGCTGCGCACCCACATGCTGGCGCACAAGGGCCTCAAGCCGTACCAGTGTCCGCAGTGTGGCAAGCGTCTCACCCAAAAGTCTGGCTACAAGAAGCACATGCTGACGCACACCGGCGAGAAGCCGCACACCTGCGACATTTGCCAGCGTTCATTTCGATTTTCGAGCAATTTGATTGCGCACAAACGCTGCCACAGCCAGGAGAAACCGTACGAGTGTCTGGTGTGTCACAAGCGCAGCTTTGCCAACAACTCCGATCTGACGCGACACATGCTCGTCCACTCCGATGAGCGTCCCTTCAAGTGTCTCGATTGTGGCAAAACTTTCAAGCGTCAAATCTCCCTCAATGTTCACATGAAATCAAAGAAAACAGCCGCCATGGAATCGTCACCAGAGTACGATGAGGAGAATTAGCAGGAGGAGCAACAGAAATGTTTTTTATAAATGGGAAAATGTAAAGCAAAGCTTCAGTTTGGGTTCCTGACTAAAAGAGCTTCAACTTTGCAATATTCGCCATTTTAAATGTGAATAACGTAGCTTTAGGATCTCCGCTGATCAATTACAAATATCCACCTTTATTTAGCTGTACAAAAATCATAATTTTAGTGGCTCTCTCTTGCTCTCTTTTCGAGTGAAGTCTCTCCTCTGTGTTATTTGCTTTTAAATTAAGATGTAAAATATATTGACTTGTCTTGTGCTGCAAAATAGATGTAAAATATTAAATTACCAGTTATAAGCTGAATTTGTATTGTATGTATATGTAAAATATATATAAAGACTTGTCTTGTGCTCTTTTAGAATATTTGACTTGATATTTTAGTGCTTTATTTTTTTAAGGTATTTTCTTGCCCCATTTTTTATTTATGTATAACAAAAGTTTTATAAGTCTTAAAAGGGAGTTACAAAGGTCAAAATAACGACTTTTCCAATGTGTGTTTGTGAGGTTCGAAAGAACCTGTAGGTTTATCTTTTCGCTCGATTAGTGTTTAAAAATATATAATAAATAAAGTAAAAGTTGTGTTGCTCTTGTTGTTGTTGTTGGGGTTAATACTTGGATCAAGAATTAAAAATTAAAAATCAAATGAGAATTATTAATTATAAACATTATATATGGAAAAATATATACGTTCAATCATCACAAACAGTAGCATTACAATATTAAACAAACAAATATTTCATATATATAAAATACCATTAAAAAAGAAAAAATGAAAATTTCGATTTTATGCATAAATGGAAAATATAAATGGGAACTGGAGCTGGAGGCACACGTGCTGGACCGACTGGATGGCTGGCTGCTAATCCTTTTCCTGCTGCTGCAGCAGTGCGGCAATCTCCTGGAACTTGTGACGAAAATCCACGCTACTCTCACTGATGACGGACATGCTGGACGAGGGATCCTGCAAGTAAAAGCATAAATAAATACATATTTGCACTGATTGTTGCTTCCTTTGCTTGCTCACAATTATGTCCCTGGTGGCATCGATTCCATCCAAATGTCCCAGCAGCGATGTTAGCGAAAAATCATTTATATTGTCCTCCAGCCAGCGTGCATTCGATGTAGAATCACGCAGCAAATGCATTGGACTGACGCTGCCACGAAAGAAGTTTTGTGCTGCAACAAAGAGGGAGAGAAATGTTATTAATAAAGTTTTCTTGCTGCCCTTTGGATTGCCACTCACTTGTGCTCTCATCTTGCACTGCCTCAGGCAGCGTTTCATCGTTTAATGCTGTTGGCGGCACAACGTCCAAATTTGGCATATCCCTCGCTGGGCCACGACTGGCCACCGCCTCCATGTCCTGCGCCACTGCATGCTGTGTGTGCTGCTGCTGCTGCTGCTCACTGCTGCCGACACGTTGTATGCCCGTTGTGAGACCCGCGCGCTCAATTGGCTCAAAGAGTCCATTGTGCAGCTGCCGCACGCTCAGCTGATCGTAGGGACGAGGAGCGGGTATGCCCGGCAGCAGACGTCGATGCACCAGAACCTGCCGGTTGATCTTCTGTCGCGTAAGCTGCACAGGGGAATAAGGGAATTAGAGTTAAGTCCGGCCATGGGCTTGCGTTGGGCTGACTTACCGCCGTTAGCTGACGCACTGGATCAATAAAATTAGCTATGGGACGTCGCACTGGCAGCATGGGCGTACGGAATGTGCCATCACCGGCAGCAGCCGCTTCATTGGCGCCCGCCAACTGCTGTGCCTTGCTCACCAGGTCGCGCTTGCGATCACAGGTGTGGCCACAATTGCACTGACGCTTGCGCACACGTTCACTGAGATTTGCCACGAGCAGTAGATGCTTCAGCTTATTGCTAACCGTCGATGTGGTCACAGCCTTGACACGCTCCACGCTATCACAGTCATTCGTATTGTAGGGCAGCGATGTGGCTGACGTTGTCGTTGCCGTGGTCGTCGCTGGCACACCCTGCGTCGCCTGCGTCTCGGCCTCGCACCAATAATACTCCAGCTCAACTTTTGAGTCCTGTCCCAGCACCACATACAGATCCCCAATGGTTATGTCCGCTGCATTCGATACGGTCCAGCCACGGCGCATACGCTTGATGGTATTGTCGCTTAGCAGCGGCTTAAAGTTACGCGCAGCAGCGGCAGCGGCTGCCTCTTTTGCCTCCTTGCGCTTGGAGCGTGCCACTGCCGCTGGAGCTGCTGTCACAGCCGGAGGAGCTGCCACTGTAGCTGCTGCTGGCTGTGGCGGTGGCTGTGGTGGTAGTGCTGCTGCTGCTGCCGCTTCACTGGTTGGCAGATCCTCGTGCGTTTCCAGCTCATCGCCGCTGCACACCTCCAGCTTGACCGCTTCCAGCTTGACAGCAGCCTCCAGCTTGAGATTGTTCTGTTCGAGTGGAGCGACTGCCTCTTCCAGTGATTTCTCCAGCACTGGGCTGGCTCTGGTCTTGGGCTTCTTGGCCTCCGGGGAACGCTTCTCGGAGCCACTTTCGGTGCGCGGTCGCTTGCTGGCAGCCACCGCCACTGCCGCACTGTTGCCGAGCGTCTCGCTGCGCACTTTGACGCCCATGCGCTCCTCGTAGGCGGTCAGGCAGATGTCAATGCTGTTCAGATGCGCTGTGATATTCAGCAGCGGTCGATGGATGGCCACACCGGGCTTGGGCTGGAAGCATAACGATGGCTCCACTGGTGCTGTCGGTTGTGGTTGAGGTGGTGGCTGCTGCTGCTCTGACTCTGCTGTGGTTGTGCTGCTGGTTGTTCCGCTGCTGCTGCTGGCAGTGGCAGTAATATTAGGATAAAGGGAAGACTTCTCCTCGTGCAAACGCTGGTTGGCACTGCGCCATTTGTACTCAAATATTTTAATGAAACTGACAAGTTTCTTGTGCAGCGGCACAATGATGCGTCCACGGGGATTCTGGGCTAATGCTTGAACCCTGCCAAAGGTTTCCATATTAGCTGGACTCAGCAGCACCTCCACCTTGCTGGGCAGCCGTATGTCATCCAAGGAATCTAAAAAGCAGCAAAGAGAAAGAGTTGAGGATGCTGCTGCGAGAGCTCTTCCTGGACTTACCATCGAGCTGATTGAGACGACGCAATGCCTTGCAGGATGGCGTCTTAATGCGTATGTTCTTGCCCTTGCAACGTATCGTGATTTGTCCTTGGTAGATCAATGGCTTTAGCTTCATAAAATGCTTCTCGGTAAGGAACTGCAACTTTCGACGCATTTCCCCATAATTAATCAATGTGTACAGCTCCTGTGCGAGTTTCTTTAGCTCTACAAAGAGACACAGAAATATTGTTAATGGTTCGCTGCTTGTGTGCTCCCCTTTACTTACCATCCGAATAGCGCACATATTTGCATATCTTGTGATACGTTTGATAATAATGCTGGCGCACTTGGTCCTTGGTCTTGAAGCTGTACTCGCTGTTGGCATTGCGACGCTTTAGCTTTGCATTTATGCACTGGGCCACCGCCTCAAAGTCCTTGCCAAACTCATTCAATGCATCGAAGAAGCAATTTCGCTCGACATTCGTCCACGATGTTCGACCATTGCCTGTTCGTATCTGTGATGGTGTCTTCTGTGTTGGTTTCTCCTCCTTTTTGCTGTGCTCTTTTTCTGGTGGCGGCGGCGTCATTGGGCGGGTCTGATCTTGCTTCATTTTCTGTATTACCCGTGCACTGGCACGCGTCCCGGGGCAATTGTGCGTAATGACAGAACCGAGCAGCTCTTCCACGGGCTCCACTGTGGCGGGGGCAGCAACTGAAGCGGTGGGCGCCAACTTAAAGTGCACAACCTTGCCATTGTGCAGGGCGGGGGGGACAGTGAAGTGCTCCGTCTCCGGAGCGACAACAACGGGTGGAGGAACATTGGCAATCGCTGCTGCTGCTGCTGATCCATGGGAGGCGGATTTCACATTCTTACACATTTCTTCCATTTTATGCCACTCGCATGGGCCGCCACAGGAATCCTTGCCTGCAAGTAGACGAACCACAAAGGGGGGATATTGCGTTGTCTATCTGGTCAGATTTTGCATGAAAAACAAAAAAATGGCGCTTGACGAGAAGGGAATTTTAGGCGAATGTTTTTCTATCGCCACAGCCCTGCTGGCCTCACTGCCATTAGCTCAATGTATTGCTGGTTGTTTTAGCTACTTCCTGGTGTTGTTGTCTGTCCACTTACCTAAATAGCAGACATGCAAAATCGGATTAAATCACTTTATTACAAACAAAAAAAAGTTATAGACGCTAGGGATGTTGATGTCGCTTAACAGCACACTGTTCCAAAACAAAAGCCGTACAGACTTTGGGTGCTGAATGGGTGCTGTTATGCGCACAGTCCACTGTTCTGTTAGGCGCGATAACAATAGTGTTGTTCGCTTCGGAGAATAAACAAACAAGCAAACAATACCAAATGGGATTATTATCTTGTTTGTAATTTTTTTTTTAATAAAACAAGAGGTAATTTGCGTGTTAAACACATTTGTGCGCAACTTTCCCTTGTGAAATGTTGTGGCCGATTTGCCGATCACGATATCGATAAGTTATTTTAACATAGCGTCTTGAGCAACCCCACGCCATCTCTGATTGGAGTTATTTGAGTTTTTTCAAGTGGAACTTTAGTGCAATTATTTATTTATTTGTGTGCAAAGTGTGCGTAAGAGTCGGGAACAATGCTTGGTTATTTTACACCATCTTACCTGTACAGCTACCGACGCCACTTATCGATAAGTTTCCAAAAATCAACCGCGGGCAAGAGTATAGCAATTATAAGTACACTTGTTTTGTATTTATTATTTGTTCTTGTTTAAAACTATTGAAAAAGACAGCTCTTTTCTAACTTTGCCATCGCACAATATGCTAGAATGTGGAAGAGCAACCGGCAGCATGCACACAGCTCACACATGCACACATAGATCCCGTTATGATACTTCCAGCAGGAGCGAGCGCCATGTTGTGTTTTTTGTTTTGTTTATTTTAAGTGTATTTTCTTAGTTCTTAGTTTAAAATCTTAAACGTAGAGAAAAAAAAGAGGATATTTTGTCATCTTACAAATAAATACCAACAAATAGTAATACTAGCAGCACAGCAACGAGTATTGTAATGAGCATTATCTTTTTCTGCAAAACAAACAAGAAAAGAAACGAGAGCGAGAGAGTAGTATTGTGGTGAGTACCGTTGTTGTATACAATTTCCCAGCCACTGCCAGCAATTATTACTAATTTATTCATTCGTTCACCTCACCTTCCGCGCCTTCTTTTGGTGCTTTTCAGCCTGATCGAGCTCCACGGCACCCTTGTCCACATACAGCGTTGCCTGCTGGGCATGGAACTCCACGCGCTGTATCGTATCACTCTGCTCCATCACCAGCGTTTGGATGCGCATAAACAGTGCGTGCACATCCTCAATGGACTTCTCCAGCTTGCGCAGCTCGTTGAAACGATCCATGAGATCACGAAGGGTTTGTCTCTCCTTCTCTGTTTCTTGCAGGAACTAAACACAATCGAAAAATACATTTATGCCATCGCTTCAGCTTCAGCAGGATGACTCCACAGTACTCACATTGTCCACGAAGAGTTTGGTGGTTTTGTTCTCCATGAGCAGCTCGATTTCCTGCTCACTGGCCTCCGAATTGACTAAAATAGAAACGAGCGAGCGATTAATCTTTTAGATAAGGTAAATCTGGCTGTCGGCTCCTCTTAATTACTTATTTTTGAGTGCAGGCGCAGATTCTTTTTGATCTTTTGCTCATAGTTTTGCAGAAAGAGCTCGTTCTTTTGCCACAGATTGATGTACGTCTGGTAGAGGCCATAGAAAAGGGTTCGCTTCATTCTCGCCTCAAGGCAATAGTCGTTCTCGGGCGGCAGGTTTGTCTTGAAATCCCTGAAGCGATTCATCAGCTGATTGCCCAGTCGCAAGTTTTTATTGTGCAGATCATCCATTTCGTTTTCTGGAAGGCAAACGGCAACCAAATATAATTTCGACTCAAATTGAGTGTAACTCTCGTTTTTACCGTTAAATGTGCGCAGATTAATGGTTTGTGTCATGCGGTTCATGGCCTCCAGATTGGCGGCAATCTGTGAGAGCTGCAAACGGATCTGCGCGTACTACAAATAGAATTGAGAATTTGTTGATGCAAAAATTTCGCCGATAGATATAAATATATGTACATATATATGTATGTGGTACTCGGTTGCACATTTTAAGCGAAGAGTTTCAAAGAGTGAAAGAGTGAAGGTTTTCTGCAGTCTGCTTGTGGCACTTTTGTTTTTGGAAAAGATGTACAATACAATTTAGGTTCCATCTTTGTCTTAGACTTTTGCCGGGACCTGGTCTTAGCCCGTTTAGTACTGCTAAGCGCCGTAATATGTGTAAATGTTCATGGCCAGATTTAACCGCCGTATTCGGGAATACTTTTGGGCTGCAATTCTCTTTTTCTTTCATCTTTTTTGCAAGATTCACAATTCTCTGACTGTCGTTTGTTCGTTACCAAGTGCAAAAATCTTTGTTTACATGAAATTGAGAGCAATACACCGCCGGAACCTCATGGGTGATAAGTGGAGTGGGTGTGGCTGTCGGCTGCTGTATTCGTACATAAAAAATAGCAAAATGTATGGGGGAAAAACTCGTTATATTTTTTGTTTCGCTTATCACGAGTTTACGCGTCGATTGAGTAATACAAAACTGAATCATGCACAAATAAAGAAGCTCCCAACAAAATAAAGGGCCAAAGAGAGAGAGAGGTGGGAGGAAGAAATAGGGTGTCGGGGAACACAAGGATTTTACAGCTATATGTAACAGTGGAGAAAGAGTGTGGACGTTTGCAAGAGAGCTTATTGTTGCTTTCCCACTTACCGGATTCAGAATGTCATCGACATTCGCACCATATTGCGACATTTTCGTACTAACTCGGTCCTTGCTGCTGCCTCGATCCTTGTTCTCGCTGCTGTTATTGTTGTTGTTGTTGGTGCTATTGATGATATAAGCGTTTGCGCTGTTGCTGTTGCTGTTACTATTGCTGTACTCTGTTGTCCCACTGTAAACGCTCAGCAGGAGTGAGCCGTTAGACGAGGAGCTGGATTGAGAGCTCAGCGAGCGCTACCGGAAGAGAAGGGAGAACAAGAGTAACTGTTATTGTGATCTCTACAAAACGCACCATAAAGGTGTGAGAGAGTAAAAAACTATTTTGTATTTGAATTTTGGTTTTACTGCTTCTACGTCAGTTGTCGTTTGTTTTACTTTTTCTCTTTTTGCCTTGCCCCAACCTGGCGCCGTGTAAAAGTACAATAAAAATGACTTCAAAACTGAAAACTTACTTGCTGCCAAAAGTGTGGGGGACAGTGGGTGGGAAGGTACAGGTCTGGGGGGTACAGTGTACCGGCCAAGTTTGATGGTCCGTGTGGGAGTAGTGTGGCGGCTACTTTATCGCTGTTATCTATGGGAAATCTGATAAATAATTTCGCACCCACCCTCCCACACCAGCGGGGACGACTCAAGTCAAGTCACAAACAAAGAGAGAGAGAGAAGTAGTAATTGAGGGAAGAAGAGCGATCGGTTGGTCACAGTGGACGGAGTGCGAAAAAAGCTGAGTACTCCGTTTTGTGTTTCTCAGAGAAGAGAATGATGCATGTTCCGTTCAAAAATTCGAGTAATTTTTCATTGAAGTTCTTCATTTTAGTTTAACGACTATGAAAATTTAGTTATTTTCCCAAATTTAAGACCAAGTGAAAAAAAAATTAAGTTTAACTTAAGAAACATTTCAGTCGAAAATCAGTTATTTGTAATTATTCGAAGGATACTTTTAAAATTCGTATAAGCCGTATTGTTATGAACCAAGCCCCATTATGTAGTAGTGTTGTTCACGAAATATCTTACGGCGCCCACTGTGCGCACAACTAATTTGCTGTTACCTCATCCACCAGCATGCCGTCCCATTATTACCTGTAAAAGCTCCGGTAGTCGATCACGGACCATGGTGTTTTCTTTCGCTCTCGCTTTTCCTTTTGAATATAATTAACATGTATTTTTTGTTGCACTTTTTTGTTATTGTTGTTGCTGCCTCCCTTCGAGCCTATTGGATTGACACTCGCTGCAACAGCTGTTCGGGAACTGTGTGTTGTGTGTGTTCCTGTGGCTGTGCCGCAGGTATGCGAGAGCCAAAGAGCGGCGGGAGAAGAGCAGGTGGAGCAAGAGCGAGAGAGTAAAAGAGCGCGCGAGCTTGTAGCTTTGCCGTTGAACTGTTATCGAAGCTTATCAGGCGGCGGTTGAATGCTTATCAAACACACGAAACGAAATATTTGTGGAATGCCCTTCAGCGGCAAGAGCGAGAGCGGCAAGCGGCAGTGCGAGAGAGCACTTGTCTCTTTGTTGCAATTTTATTTACTGAGGTCGCCTTCCATTATAATCCATCTCTCGTTCGTTTGCTTCCTTTACACTTTTTCCACAGAACACAACACACACAAAAATATACATATAAATATTTGTAATTAATTTTGTTGTATTATTTCAGCATATTTTTGTTTTTGCTGTTGTTTTTGTTTTCCAATAAATTGGATTGGAAAAATGTTATCGCTTTGATGTCTCACACGTTTGCCGTTCGTCTTCGAACTAAAATTGACGCCAAACAAGAAAAGAAGAGCCGTCTCAGAAAGTCGCGTTCAGATTTCTTTCAATTCAAAAAGATTAAAGACACACACACACACACACTTGCTTCGGGCTAGGGAGAGATAAAGATGGAGACTAAAGTACTATGGTTTAGTTACACTCTCGATCTACTTTTTGTCTCTGCAGTGGAGGAACACCGCGAACCGGTATCCGTGTGTGGTATCGGTGGCCGCACTTTGCACACTTTTATGTGTGTCACATACAGAAAATGTGTTAATTGTTTCTTTGTTATTATTATGTACATATGTATGTATGTATGTATGTTGTTCTATTATTATTATTACTTTGTGTATGCTAAATATTTTTACAAGCAGCGTTTTTGTTTTGGTTTTTTGTTACGGTTGCGCTTCAATTGACGGCAGCGCGGAGACGACGAGACAACAACGGAGAGCGAGGCAGCAGCACCAGCGACAAACGACAAGCGACGACGACAAACGGCAACGACGACGACGTACAAAAGTGACTTGCGCTAATTAGTTGAGCTCTTTATACCCTCCCCCTAAACCAGCCACAAAGGGTATAAGGCATTCGTTGACACTCAAACTTGACTTAAAAGTCAGCAAAATGTCTCAAGAATATTCAAGATTAATCTCTCACTTTTAAATATTAACTAAAGAATGACCACAAAGACTTCTCTCTTCCAGAGTGACTAACGGGTATTTTAGTGTTCGATTCACTGTACCCCGTCATAAGCTCGGCGCGTTCATTCTCTCTGTTTTCCACGAGTATTATTACTCTTTTTGCGCTCGTGCCTGCGGTCAGTCGAAGCAGGTTGCCATAATACCCCAACCGGCATGCAGTTCAGTTTCAATTTTGCGCGGCAGCATGGGGGTATAACAGACTTGAGTTTGTTCTAGATTGAGTTAGATTTGTAAAACATATTTACAGCAGCACAATGCTCAAGATTCAATAAATGCATGTGGAACATTTCTTTGTTCAGCGACAAACAGACAGACACAATGCAGTCGCACAATCTTTGCTGGCTTGCAATTAGTTTATTTTCAAATATACATATATATGACTTATTCTAGAAATATGCGAAAGAAGTTAATTTCATTTATTTTTAATTTGTTTATATACATAAGGTTTTGATTTGAACCAAGGTTTATGAGCTCCCACATTTATTGGGTGTTTTAATGGTCGATTGGTCTCTTACATGTTTTGTTATTGTTGTTCTTGCGGTTGCAAAATGAAGCTTAAAAAAGCACTGCCCCTGCTCCCACACACCACCGAGTCAATTTGCAAACAATTCTCATTTTCTCATTCAATTTTGCAAATTCTTCTCAGACAGAAAATCGGTTGAAACGTTCTCCTGCATATTTATATACATATGTACATACATATATACAGTGTGTCTTGGTTGCGGGGACGTGATAATACGCCAGAATATGTGTAAGAATAAAGCTCAAAATAGTACCAGACTAGACTTGGCTATGACTTGCAGTTCAATCGATTGCTTGGTCTTTGCACTTACATCAAATAATTATCCAAATTATTTCCAAAGTTCAAGTTTTTTTCTCTCTTTTTTTTATCGGTTGTATTCATTTATTTATTATTATTATTATTTCTCATTGCAGTGAGTATTATGTGACTTGCTGCTTAAAGTGTCAACCACCAGGGAAGTGCAGTTCGGGCGCACCTCTGGACAAATGAGCTTCGAATTCACACATTGAACGCTGGACTTGAACGGCCGGGCAAGTCATTAAATTGCCAGAGAGACATACCGACATTTATTTGTTGCACACTGCAACTCGTATGCCACTCGTGACTCAATGGAGATTAATACATACAATCGAACAACAAAGCCAATTCCAATTAATGCTGAATACAAGTTCTTGAGTGTAGAATTCGCTTGTAATATGTACGTACATGCAGTGTACATTTTATGTACATATTTATAAAGAAAAAAGAAAGAAAGATAATGCCTATATTATGTATGACGAATGCCGATGCATAAGAATGATCCATGCAGAGCTTTGGACACCAGAAGATCTGGCATTAGAGGGTTGATCTTTAAAAGTTCTAATCAAAGAACTTCGAAAGAAAAAGAGATATTGAGTTGTTTTTTGTCCCTTTTCGATATGTGAGATATTTTTGTTGTGGTTTTTGCTATTGTTTCGTGCATGGATAAACTCTTTGTTGGGTCCAGGACATTTGCATACAAATAGAGCAAGTTCCCCCGCGACGCGCAGCGCGTGTGTGCGCCTTTTGACTTTTGATTCAATTTGCACGCGCCAAAAAACCAAACAATAAATGTAAAACACGCGAAAAATTGCATATTCCCCAAAGTTGGGATGGGAGCGTACAGTCTATGGATATACCCCTTTTTTAGCATAGAAAGATATAATAATAATAACTGAAATGTATAAACGGGGAGCGGTTTTGAGTTATTTTTTGAATATTTAAATTTAATTTGTTGGATTTTGGCTTTACTTTTTTCGAATATTTGAGAAAACTACTTGCGAGATTTAAAAATACAAATTTATTAGAATTATGAATTATGTGCATTAAACAATTATAATAAGTATTGTAATAGTAATAATAATAATAAGATTATAATATTTATAATACAAAAATTACAACAATTATAATAAAAAGTAATAATAACTTTAATAAATAATAATCATAAATATAATTAATAGTAAAAGCTCTAACAAATAAGCATTAACATGGATACAAATAAAAATAATAAAAAATAAAATTGAATAAAAATAAATAATAATCAAAATGAATAATTTTTGTTTGTTTGTTATTTAATCGCTACAGCGCATTGACCAGGTACTTAAAAAATAAGAATAACAATTAAGTTAAATAAAAATTAAAATAGATATTAATTAAAAAGAATAAAAATGAAAATAAGTGAAGATTGGAATGGATAATAATTAAAATAAATAATAATTAAATTAAATATATATAATAAATTTCCAAATACCTATAAATACGCTTAAAGTTTTAAGTTTTAATGTTTTAAGAAATATGTGAGATTTCTTGTTAAAAGTCAAGACACTTTTGGTGGTACAAAAACTATTAAATATTCTGCACCACATATGAAAATCCAAAATTCCTTGCTGGGCCACATTCAAAAATTGAACGAACTAAATGGTTGGTGTGTAGGCAAAATTGCTTTTAAAGCCTTTGGAGTGGGCGTGCCGTGTCCTGATCCACACCAATTCAAATGCGCGCCCAAACTGTGCAACGAACATTTGAAATTTTCGCATTTTTCTTCTTTTTTTTCACCGCATTTGCGTAAAAGTAACAACGAAAACCAAAACTAAAAATAAAATAATAATTCCCTTTTCTCTGCTTTTTGTCTTCACTTTTTATTTTTGTTGGTTTTTCTTTTTGATTTTGTTTCGTTTTGTTGCTAATGCAAATTTGTGTTTAGTTTAGCGGGGGATCTAGTGGAGCAGGAATGCAGCCAAGGACTTTGCAACATCAACATAATGTGAATTTTTCATTTGTTTATGCTTTCAGCTGATGTCTGTTAATTAAATTTGTTTTACACCACACATCATAAGCTTTTGCCCCCCGACTAACCATTTGTTTTTCGCTGTCGCTCTTATTTATCAATTATGGCTGGCAATTGTTGTGGAACATTTCCCTTTGTTCAATTGTTAATTACTCTAACATACGCCATGAGAGGGAGATTTACTATTTCTACAACTTATTACTCTGTGGCAGACAATGGATGTGTGTAAGTGGATTGAGGAGCCATGTTCGTGGCTGGACTTGAGCCACTTTCTGGCAGTTAGTTGGTGGCAGCAGTTTTCAGCATTTCTTGAACCCATTTAATATTAATTGTAACCCTTAAAGTTTACCTTACAAATGCAGTTTTTGCATTCTTTAATGTTTTTTTTTTTTGCTTTCTTTTCACATTTTTCTCCACCTTTCTCCACCGGTCCAAGAGGAGCCCCTCTAGTGTGTGTGTTATGGAAATTTCATCGTTTTTGCATCTCAATTGTTTATTTTTTGCTGCTTAGCTCCTGCAACTCTCTACATGTTTGGCTTTGGGCCATGTGTCGCAGTCCATCAAGCGTTTTGTCTACTTTGTACTGCCTTTTATTATACACAAATGGGAGTAACACTTTGTTTGGCTCAGCGTGTCAGCCGCCCCACCCCGCTGACAGTGACACGATTCAACTCAACTCGAGGCAGGCGTTGCACACAGGATGCCACAAAAACACACAGATACACAGCAGTGAGCAGTGGAAGGATACGAGTTACGACTGAGGGTAACCCTTGGTGCTCTTGGCAAAGGTTTTACTTGCGTTTTCCTGCCCCAAATGGGGCCGACTCGAACCCGTCGATCCGCGCAGCGCAAGGCAAAGTATTGTCGCCTGCAATAAATGCCAGGCTTCCGCTGCGACAGGGCCATGGAAGGAGCTGCAAAAGGAGCATGCTTCTGCTGCTCAACAGCGAGGACCGGAAGGAACTTTGCTGCGAACCGCCATTATGAATGCAGCGCCATTTCCACCAACTATCTAGCTACACATCCAACCACCATCCAGCACCCTTCACCACTCACCACCGTCGTGTGTTCAGCGTGTTTGTGTTTGTGTCTTCCCGCACACCCCTCACAAGGCGTACGATAAATAATACAACTTGGCATTTCCCAGTGCAGCTTCCTTTGGAGTATTGCTAGAATTTTTGGGTCTCAAGCTGGATGAAAAAAAGAGAACATCAAAAATGAAACACAAGAAATGCCACAAATAATGAAAGCTCAAAACGCATTAAATGAACTTGCAGAGGCCTTGATCTGCTGGCATCTGAGCTGCGAGAAGAAGAGAACAGCGCAGGAGAAGCTTCGGCAATTAGGACCTTCATTGCTCTCTTTCTACCTGCCGATCAGGCACTCACGTGTGTTTGTGCGTTTGTATGCAAAACGTTTCTTGCTTCTCTGCCGCTGCCGCTGTCGCTGTCGCTGCGGAAGTCGAACAACTGCGCATTGACCACCACACGAAGACGTTCCGCTGCCGCTGCGGCAGCCGAGCAACTGTGCATTGACCACCACACGAAGACGTTTCTCTGCCGCTGCAATGCGTTCTCTGTGCATAGGTCGAAGCACACGAAGCTTTTACGCTGTGCGTGTGCCGACTGCACTGCCAGAGATCATTTCCAACAACACGAAATGCCACAAATAATGCAAACTTAGAGACTTGGATGTACATTTGAAATATCCAATCAGTAATCGCGATTCAGATTTAATGGAAGTAGTTCGAGTTGGTATATGGGTACATATTTTTGTGAAGGTATTTTCGCCTTATTGGTGTTGGTCTGTTACTGAGAACCGCCTTCTAATGGCAGAGTTTCATCATCTGTATCTGAGTCCTCGGAATCCCATACCATTTCCCACTCGTCTATGGGCATCCAATCAACGACGGTCGTGTTGCTGGATGGGTCATGGTATGCGCCTTCGGGTGGAGACTCGTGAGACTCAAAATCATCAATCATCATCAATTCCATCGGGTTGCCATTGCCAGTAGCCACGTTCTGCTCCTGGCCAGCTGCGCTGCAGGCTGCGCTGTCCCCGCTGCATGCGGAGAGTAAAATAATTATACATAAATATTCATACATAGATGTAGACCTGGATACATACGCTTCTGTTGATTCGTTGACATGGGCCATGGCCAGCTCGATGTAGAAGCGATCGAGAAGGGAATCAAGCATAATTGCCTCCACATTCACACGGGAGGAGGATGGAGTGTTGTCGATGATTTCATATATTTCCGCCATTATCTCTTCAAATGTGCGAATCCTGAGGTCATTTGTATTTATTTGCTGCTGCTGCTGCTGCTGCTGCTGCTGCTGCTGCTGCTGCTGCAACAAACGAGAAACGACGACAGATTCGACAAATGCTAAACTTGGAGTTGGTTTCCCATTTTCCCATTCACTTACGCTCGAAGTTGGTCCATCATCACTCAGGGGATCCTTCTCCATTTTCACTCACAGAAATCAAACGAATTCACGAACTCCAGCCAGAAATGTCTAGAATTTATGCCAGGGTTGCTGGAGACAAGCAAAGCCCAGCCAGTGTGCACAATTCCATCCGATCGATAGCTAATTAAGTAGCGCGAATCATTTATTAAAGTCATTTATTTATGTAAGCTTATGTAGAGTATTTTCTTGGCTTTCTTTAATGCACGAAATCAACTTTCGTTTCATTTTTATTCATTTTGGAAACACAAATTGAAATGGCAGTGTTGCACAATCCCACAACAGTCCAGTGTGTTTTCCTTTCCCTTGCGGCAGTTGGCGGGCTGCAGCTTTTTGAATTTGAAACTACGCAGACTCAACGGTGTCCGTGGATCAATGATACTTACTACAAGTTCTGGGATTTGCACTTCCAGACTTAGACTCTGACTCTACTCCTCCTCCAGGACCCACGAGTAAGTTGATCTGTTGATCTGCAAAGATCTGTGCCAATGAACTTGGAGAAGAAATCTGGAGTCTGGCGCACTTTGCTGAAATTCGCATCCAAAGGAGACGCAAAAAATAAAAAGTTCTTGGCTGAAATTTGTTCTGTTCTCTCCTTCACCGATCCCCCGGATCAGACCCTTCAATGACTTCAATGGCCAGTGGCACAAGCTGGCTACGAGTGCGCAGTCTCATCGCTAATTGAAACAAAGCCACAAATCAGCTGTTTCCGACTTTCGATATACAGAGCTATCGATGATTGATATCGATATCAATTTCAGCCCTGGCTCCATGCGGTTTTGGTTTATAGTGAAAAGTGGAAATTACTCTACAAATTGCTTCTCAATTGTTAAGAATATCAAAATGGGTGGCCGCAATTTACAGCAGAAAAAGTGGAAATCGAAGAAGCAAAAGTCCCAGAATCGCAAAAAGAATAATGTGAGTAGAATGAAGGAGTGAGAGAGGGAGAGGGAGAGTGTGAGAGAAAATGTCTCCTTTGCTGTTTAATTCATAGCATCAGAAGAAGAAACCCCCATCGGAGGAGGCCAACGACTCGCTTGTGGAGAAATGTGAAACATCAGACATGGAGCTAGAGGTAGTGGAGTTGTGGGAAGATTTCGTTGACTTTTACGAGGGCGAAGCACACGGGCCAAAGCAGGAGAGAAAGTTCTGCAAAGCACTGCAGAACAAGGAGCTGATGGAGTACGAAGGAACTTTTGTGGGATTGAGGAACATTATCCAGCAGATGTCCAATTTCCGCAAGTTCGAGGTATTCATGATGCTGTACCCCACGCTGGCCATGGGCTACCTGCAGATGGTGTATAGCGGCAAGTGGCAGCGGGCCAGGGACTACGTGGAGCGGCACAAGGTCGACCTATGCGACTACTACCGAAAGC